AAAAAAACGCAATTTTACTAATTTATGTATATTTGATAAAAAATATTCATCCTGCAATACTTTTGTCTTCCTTTTTAGTCTCTCTAACCCTTCCTTCTTTCTCTCATTCTTTTTTTTCCTACAGAGTTCTACACTTTTAATTAAATAAAAGCACAGTTAGGTTAATAAATAAAGTATGTTATTAACAAAACCTCAGATTCCCTTTCAAAATTCCATTTAATTTAGTTCCGTCAAATGTTTTCTCGTTTAGGATACGCGCAATTTTTTAACGAGGGACCATACGCCGCTATTCATATAATGCCACAATGTGTCACATTGAAGATTCCATTATGACCGCCGTATGAACACATATGTAGATGTTTCTAAATTCAAAATGTTTACCATTTTCGTATTTATATGCGGAATTCTGCTTAAGCCAGTGCTAGGGGACGGGCGTGAACAATAACTTGCACTTTTCAATTCCGTCCATGAACGGGCTTATTAATCAAACCGAGCCTGCAACATTTAAATTTTGTCGTATTGGGCGTTCTTTAGGGATTCCGTTTTTCTCTATTTTATTTTTCTGTTGGATATTCTAATGGTTACATTTCATGAATGTTTCTTCCCTTGTTGATCTTTTTTTTTCTTTCTCATTTTCACCATAGGACTATTTTACAGCAAGTTACTTTTGGTTAACAAATCGACTGCATTCACTAATATATGCGTATTGATTAAAGATTTATTCATCCTCCATCATACATTATGATGACAAGCTCATTAGGCAAACTGTTATATAAAGAGTTCAATAATTGCAAACCAAATTATGTAACCTATTCTAAAAGAATGTAATTAACAAAAACTTATTGGAAGTGGCTGTTTGATTAAGGTTTAAGCGTGTAAGTTTACGCACTTGATAACATTGAAAAAAGGCCGGTAGCTCTTTTCTAATGAGGGTTCTTTGAAGAGAGAAAATTGCTAAATTTTACTTCAGAGAGTTATTTTTATGCTTGTTTGCTGTGCGTGCAAAGTAAGCTGTTCAGGAAATGTGCGCTATGAATAACATATCGGACAGGTTAAAAAAAGTGCTTCTTTAAAAAGAAAATATTCTTACCTTGATGACAATCAAATTTGTTTCAACAGATGGATAGTGATGTTATTTCTAACTAATACATGCATATGAAACAATTGTTTGAGATTATTTTTAATAATTATAATAATTATTGTATCCGGCAAATGCGTTTGTTTGTTTTAAAGATCGTTTAAATGCCAGTATTTAAAATTTAATTGTTAGTGGATTTTAGTTGTAACCACATATAGGATGTCATTGATTCGCTTTGCAGGTAAAATGTAAGAATCTATGTATTATATGAAATAATTCTTAGTCATATTCAAGTTACAACGTTTTGATTCACATTCGTACGCGACTTTCCAGCTTAGTTGCTCGAGTCAGACCGCGGGAATACTCCGTTCAATTGTTCTAGCACGAGCGGGAACCAATTTGAATAGAATCAACAATCGTCCGTAAGCTAGCTAGATAAGTATATTTCACACAAAAGTCCTAGGCGAAATTCGAACTTGCAAACAAAACAAACACAATTAAACTCAAACAAAGAAAGAACGAAAAAATATTATTATTCTTTTTTTGTCTTAAAATCTAATTACCTTTTTATTTAATGTATTTTCTTAAGCTTTGTCGTCATAACAACTAAGATGATATCAATGTCAGGGGGGAATGTCCAATTTTAAAATGTACTGTCTTTATATGTATGAAATACAATTTACTCGATGGCTCTACTCAGGTGCCCGTTCGTGCCTGAAATAATGCACGAAGGGCACTTGAGGTCTTCTTCCACCAGTTAAGCTGGAACGTCACCATATGACCTATATTGTGTCGGTGTGACGTAAAACACAATTAAACAAACAAACAAACAAACAACAAACAATTTACTCGATTTACATAAAGATGATATTTTCAGTTAACGATGTAATATGTATGCATGTATGCATAACACAGTAAATGACATTGATTCTAAGGCTGTAATGATAACATTTAGATGTTGTATATCCATCAACTAGATAAACTTGATAGACTGGTATTAGTTTTAACCTAGACAGAAGATGAATAGCCTTTTTATTCTCACATGATTTGTTTTCTCCTTAAAGAAACCCATCCAGTTCTTTTGATATGACAAGACTGCAAATATTTTTTAGTTTCATTTTTTTAATCATTTTATGTAGGTCTATACCTGGTATGAAGTTGTTCAGAGCATTCGTTCACTCCACTTGTTTTACAAATAATCATTTCTATTGCACAAAAGGACCTAAATATGAAGAGCTTTTAAACAGTTTTTACTTAAATATTTATCAAAAAAATACACTAGATATCGATTTTTTCAACTTAATTCCGAGTATATATTTTTACTTTCCCGTTCATAAGTATCAATGGTAAAGAGCCCAAAGTAATATATCAAAGATTAAGAAGTTTTTATAAGGCCTCGAAATCTTATTGAAGCTATCTTAAGGGAATAAAATGTATATGAGGGAATAAAATGTATATGAATAAACACCATGTAAATGAGTTCATTCAGCACACACTTGAATCGAATATCGTGTATTTCTTATAGAAAAAAAACGAAGTCTTCATTGACAATGCTTTTAAAAAGAGGTATCAAGGATAATAAATGAGTCAATTCCCCAAATTCCACAAGTTGAAATTAACAATACTGTTAGAAAGGTAAGAAAAATAGATGCGACATTCGAACAATATCAACATTGTATTACGTTTTTCATACAATAGAAATTAAGTACAATGAAGTTATTTCTGCAAAGTCTTCAATAAATTAAATGACTTAACTACATTTAACCATATCACACAGCATGATAGCAAAAATGCAATATAAGAAAAAGACACAGGAACTTAAAAATTCTATCAATATTAAAGATAATATCAAAATTATACCCCCTATACAGTATAAATAAACACAAGGAATGAAACGCCTTTTCCCCACCCCAACATAATAATTTACGCCGAACAAATATCAAAATAAACTATCGGGCCATTTCGATAAACAATACATAAATGCATCAAATACCACCGATAACTTTTTTAATCGCGTAGCTACGTATGTAGGAATAATTTAAAATTTTCTGATTATTTCCCACGACCTGAGGTTGTCGCCGACTCCATTTCGTGACGTCACTGGATGTTGATTCAAGGAGAATAATATTTATTAAAATTATTTTTAACAAGTTCCAAAAATAACAAGTTTGCAAGTAAAATACTGTCTAACTTAAAACAAATGACAAATTTCTTTCTTACGACATGGCTAAATTTATTTCAATTTTAATTTATATCAAATAGAGTACTCAAATATTTTTTAAAACGAAAGTACTATTTCAAAGATTTACCGTTCTTGTTTGGGGTTTCCCTTTCAAATGTATTTAAAAAAGTAATTTGTTAAAAAGGTTTTACATAAAGATGTTTAAATCTATTTACATAGAATAATTTGTATAAAAGTTTAATACATACCTGTTATATTTTGGAACTTATTAAAAATAATTTCAATAAATATTATTCTCCTCGAATCCAAATCCAGTGACTTCACGGAATGGAGTCAGCGACAAACTCAGATCGCAAATGTTGAATTATTCCTACATAGCTACGCGATTAAAAAAAGGTTATCGGTGGTATTTGATGCATTTATGTATTGTTTATCGAAATGGCCCGATATATTATTTTGATCCGTTGTTTTGTTGATTTGTTCGGCGTAAATAATGATGGGGTGGGGAAAAGGCGTTTCATTCCTTGTGTTTATTTATACTGTATAGGAGGTATATTTTGGATATTATCATTAATATTGATAAAATTTCAAGTTCCTGTGAAAAAAGATAACTTATTCATATTATGTAACATAACGACTGCTTGAAATAAAGTTATTTCTTATTTCATTTGAAAAGACAATATTAGGTAATCTGCCATGTGTAAAAGATCCCCCTTAAAAAGTACAATACTATATAAATTCTATATATTAGACAATTGTGAGATATAATGATTATGCTGAATTAATTTGTTCGTACAAACATATCTTTTATTCGTGAAGCAAATATCCCTAGGTATACAAAAAAAACACCAACAACAACCAAGCAATAGTTTATTCATTGAAAATTTACCACAAAAAATCCTAGTTATATCTCAGTCACACCACCCTCCTATTTCTTACACATAATAGTTATACTTCACCTGAATTTCGATTTGTCTTAGAAATATAGAGCAGATGGGAAAAGGATTATAATAAAGATGTGCTTAAAATGTAAACTGTCTGCGTAGATGAAAGAAGAATAATAAATAGACCTAAAGGTATGTGCATGTTATCATTTATCATCATTCATTGTGTAAATCACAACCGATGCACGGATTAAAGAATACAGTTTTTCTTTAAGCCAAATCAAGCTTTGTATGAATATATATTGTTTCTCCAAAATTATTTTCATTATTGCATATTTATGAAATATAACGTTTCTTTTATCATTTCTGGATGTGCTATGTTCCAGTAACTCAAAAGTGTTTTCTGCCTCTTTATCTGCTAATAAATGAGTGAATAAAATCAGTATTTATTATGTACCTTAAATTTGAAATGCACCTTTTCAAATACCAGGTAAAAATTTGGTCCATAACTACACCATTTGTTATTGAAACTATTGTTCGTCACTTTAACCTAACCAACACTCTGATAGAATAATATATCTACATAATTCATTTAAAGCCAAAATCACGTTACGTTAATGCTTTATATTATAATATGTTGAAACAAAATTAGAATCTTTAATTATTTAGATGAAGGCTTCATTATCAGCTGCACAATGTACCACCTTAACGTTATAGAGATAAATGAGATTTATATTGCTTTTATCACTTCACTTGAATTACTAGAAACTCTTTAAGTGATTTAAGTGCTTTTATCTAGTTATATGTACATAAAAGATGTTTTATAAGCTATAAAACAAAATACGTTCCTCAACACTGAATGTCAAAATTACTTTTTAAATACTCGTAAGCTTTGAAATTGCTCTGTTGCAAAAACGGTAAGAATGCTCCTCCCATGATCATGGGAATAATTGTAAAATCATGCTCAAAGTTCGATATTGTATCGTATGAGACTTAAATAGTAAAACAGAATCCCTAAAGAAAGCCCAACACGGCAAAATTGTAAATTGTTGTAGGCTCGGTTTGACTGAGCCTGTTCATGGGCGGTAATGGAAAGTGCAAGTTACCATCAACGCCCCCTAGCACCGGCTTAAGCAGAATTCAACATTTAAACACTAAAATGGTGAAAATTTGAATTTAGAAACATCCGCAGATGTGTCCATACGGCGGTTATTATGGAACCTTCAATGTGACACAGTAGTGTCATTCCATGAAAAGCGGCGTATGGTCCCCAAGTAAAAGAATGCGTGTGCCCTAAACGAGAAAACAATGGGCGGAACTAAATCAAACGGAATTATGAAAGGGGATCTGAGGTTATGAAGCCTGCATATCACAGATAAGACGTCAAAAGACAAATTTAAAAAGCAGGCAACATATCCTAAGGGTGATTATACAGTATTCAAGTAGGAATAGTGGAACCACCCAAATTGAAAAAGGCCAAATACTAGAAACTGAAAATACCAAAACTGACTTGTTTGTGATGATTAAAATTGCAATTGTTTATATACTTTATCTATTTTGGTTGACTCTTTACCGCCCATCACTTACAAATGTTTCATCCTTACTAACAAAAAACAACAACACACTTTCGGGCATATAATGCTCCGCCTAGCGGTGCTCTTGTTTTAGTTATGAAACTTGACCTGTATATCTTACTTGCGACACTTCGTATATATTTGAAGTTTCAAAGGAGTATCTGTTCTAGTTTTAGAAAAATTCAAGTACATGTTAAAATTTCAGAACATTTTCTAAGTCAATTTTTGACCATCAAGTGTGGCCTTGACCTTAAGCTTGCACAAGGGTAAGATGGGTTCTGCACATTGCCCAGTTGGGGTGAATATTTGAGTCAAGTTTGGAGAAAATCCTTCCATAAATATAGAATTTATAGAGCGGACACGACATATTGTCTAGTATTGATTGTATGTAAATTTAAAGACTTAAAAGGGGCATAACTTTGTCAAAATACAATACATAGTTATGAAACTTGACCTGAATATCTTACTTGTGACACCTCATAAATCTTTTAAGTTTCAAGCAAATACCTGTGCTAGTTTCAGTAATATTCAAGTACATGTTAAAATTTAAGAATATTTTCTTAGTCAATTTTTGACCTTTACGTGTGACCTTGACCTTAAGCCGGCAAATAGGCAACATGGGTTCTGCACATTACCTTGTTGAGGTGAACATTTAAGCCAAGTTTGAAGAAAATCTTTCAATTAGTGTAGGACTTACAGAGCGGACACGACATATTGTCTAATATTTGATTGTTTGATATCTGACCTTCAATTGTGACCTTGACCTTGAGCTGACATAAGGGCAACATGGATTCTGCACATTGCCTTGTTAAGGTGAATATTTGAGCTAAGTTTGAAAATCTTTCAATTGGTATAGGATTTATAGAGCGGACACGAAAATGGAGACGGACGGACAGACCGACGGACGGACGCGACAAAGCGAATCCATAATAGCCCCCCATACTCACATTTTATGGTGGGGGTATAATAAATAAATAAATAAGCACGATATTTCATTTTTTTGTAAGCGAATAAACTAGTATTATAGCTCTTTAAATAATGTGTGATGGTGAAAATCATAAGACTTTGTCACATAAGTAATATCTATTTAATGTTTTCAAATTGCATGATTGTGTGTTATTTATCTAATTATTATCTAAAAGTTGTTAGTACTGATATCCTTGATCTCCCAATTGTTATTGAGACTGTCAGATAGTTAAATGTATCGTCATGCTTTTATATGCTGATATTACACTTTTTTCTTTCATTAAGGTTTTCTTTGTTTAAACAGAATTCATGTCAGAAATATAATTGAATGTGTAATATAATTTTCCTCATTTCCACATCCGATATTTTTTTTTGTAATATGAAGACGTGTTTGTCTTCTTTATTGTAAAAACAATTATCTTGTTCTGTCAATTTTTGTCTATTTGATTCCCAAATGAAAATTGGCAGCACATCCAGGACAAAATGTTCCTTGACTTTTTATTTCCTATGGAAGCGAGCTTTTATCTAAACAATAAGCAACAATTACAGGAAAGCACGTAGGATGTCACGAATTATGACAGTTTATTTGGCGCCTTGTGTTATCGAGAGAATTGCAAGTGTTCTTTAGGCTAAAATAAATATAACAGACCGTTTGCATTTTAATGCTTTCCTCCGTAAACAGACTCAATCAATCCAAAAATCTGGAAACAAAGTGATCCCTCCAACATTTTCAATTTTCTCATTTTGGGCTTTCTTTAGGGATTCTGTTTTTCTTTAATTTTTGTTCATGTGTTAGAAAAATATCTGAAATTTTAATAAAAGTAATAAACATTTACTCAATCTTGATCTTGTAACTTATTTACTATTTCTTTGTGATTTTTATTTAATCTTGTAAATATTTAGGTTAGTAAATTTGATGGATTGACTGCAGTTACGTTTTTATTGCAGATAATTAGAATGTTAGAAACATATATTAGAAATATATTAACTATAGCCGATTTTTGTAGTGAGGCCGTCGTGTAAACAAGTAAATACGATATCTTTTTAATCATAGGCTTCTTATTTCATGCTCACAAACGTGTTGTTTGTGCCGTGTTGCGGCCGTAAATAGTATTTCCGCTTATGCAATGCAATCAATGTCGATATTTTTTAATCCTCAAGGGATTGTTTGGCGTTCAGTATTTGTGTCTCCTACCGTGTCCTGTCTGTCCTGCTGGACTCCTTGCTCGTAGTCATGTGTTAGGGCATGCATACATTAAATGCCACCCTTCCTGGATGATTTTGTTTTTCATTTTTTACATTACTACATTACTTGATTCCCAGTTTCATAAATATCAGACAGTCTTCCGATACGTACTGAACGTAGCGTTCTTACGATTTAAATTAGCTTTCCAGAATTTAATACTTGTTTTTCGTTAATAGGACATGTTTTCCAGGCTTTATCAAAGATGGCACGGGATATAGTTTTTATAAGCTGCTCTTCATTGCCTTAGTTTATATATCATATTTTTGCTTTGTTTTTAAACCTCAAGTTCTGCGGTGCTAGGAGGCGTTGACAATAGTTTGGACCACTTCAGTCCATGAACAGGCTCTCCTGCAACTTTTACAAGAGTGCAAGGTATACAAAAATTATTTGTACATCCGCTGATTAAAAAGTATTACATGTCCCATCGATATCAACAACTTAAATGAAATAAGCACTATGTAGTCGTCAATCAACTTATCTTGCAAGAAATACGACACATGGAACACAGCAATAATTTAGGTGTCTGTTTTATTCCGATAACATCTGTTTACTATTAATTGTCTTGTGTTACGTCTGCAAGTATGCAGAAGCAATGAACTAGGTGTCTAGCAGAACTTGTGAATTGGCTGATAAAGTAAACCCTCGGTTCTTTCCAGATTCACCATAAATGTCTAATACAACGCTGTTTTGCACATATAATCTGAGGAAACACATCAATCATTCTTTTTACGGCCCGGTTAGGTATACAAGGAAGAAGTAAAGTAGCGATATTCTACACACAAAATTATATTTTAAATTACCTACCGTAATTTACATTTAATTGAAAACCAATTGGATTTAGAAATATCATTCTGGTAGCGACAAATATCATTATTCTATAGAAAAATTCAAAATAATTATGCAGCCTTAAGTTTAAAATTACATGAATACCGGCCTCTATTAATATATCCAGGTCAAGACATTTTGTACGAAAATGGCGCTTTAAAATTTGATATTACTTTACATATATATTTTGTATTAAGCATTACACATTCATCAAAATCACGTGCATTCTTGTATCTTTTTTAGAAAAATATTTCAATTTAATGCATACTTTTGAAAAGAAAAAGAAGCATCTAACTTCTAACATTTTCACTCAACATGATAAAATGCCACATATTTTCATCCGTCCCGGCTCGTGAAAATCTATGGCATTTTATCATGTTTCGTGAAAATATATTCCATATTTCACACAAACGAATAAATATCCTCTTAATATTACACAGTTATCTTAATCTTACTGTGGAGAATCAGTTGTCCGCTAAAAGGAACTGTGTTTTATCAGTGATTTTTTTAACAACTATAAACATAAAATGATGCGTATCAACATTTGATGTTTACTTTGTCACAGACAAAACGCAAATAGA